TATGTTGCTGATGAAGTGTCAGAATCTCTTAGAGCGGTTACTGAAGCACTGTTTTTTTGGTTCTTTTTTTTTTTTTTGTTGATGTCAGCATAGACAGAGTTGGCTCCGCTATTTTTACTTTATTGAAATGGCGCCTTTTATATCCTTACTCAGAGGTGCTGCTGGATGCTGGTTCTTGTGATGAGCGTATTAATGGTATATATGATGCTTTGTACCAACAAATCATTCTTCGTTGTTGCATGCTTCTTTTTTTTTTTTTGGTTTCGTTTATGATCCAAGAGGAAGATGAAAAAAATTATGCCCGTTATCTATTATATACACATTTTCATACTTTGGGCAAGTTGATGCTCTCTTATCAATGCTCTTCTGAACAATTCACAAAATCCTGATCACTTTGACTATTTTACAGAACAATGTTGTGATTTCTGAGCCGTAGTATCTGTCAGTACTACTGCTTGTCGTGGATGTAGATTTGGCGACTGTTTAGGCAATGAAATTTTATTTATGGATAACAGCGTTTATCCTGAAATTTTTGTGTTCAATGCCGGAAGAAATTACTATTTTTTGGTTTTCCAAAAGTCATTCGTAAGTTGTTGATTATTGCTGCTTCTAAGCTAATGTTATATTCCCTGGTTTTTTTTTTTGTGTCAAATAACTTAAAATGTGATTTAAAAAAAAAAGTTTTTGAACTTAAGACTATTGGAATTGTCTGTCGAGAAAACGCTCTTAGGAAGAAATCCTTTGAAAAGCTACATTGACTATCGCATGAGAAAAGCCCCAGTTTATTTACTGATTAAAATATGAAGTTTTTCTCTCTGTTAGTATGAGTGAACAGAAAAAATATTAAACAATTTCCTGTTTGCGTTTGGTTTGTTTTATCTGCTCATTATCCAGACTTATACTACAAAATTTCTATTATTAACATAGATTTTTTTTTGAAACATTAACATTTGATGCAAACGGAAAACGAATTTTATTTCAAGCTTTAATAAATCTGCTGTATGGCGTGTGGAAGCTTTTATGGGAGATACCCTAAAGTTCCAGTGCCCTTCTTCAACGGAAGAACTTACTTTGATACATCGGGTAAGTCGCTTGTGATAAATGTATACATTTACCTGCGTTATATTTGTCTATTAAAATTTGTCTTTTTAGAACATCTAATAGGCATTGATTAACCTTCTGTAAATAAAAATTTTTTAAAGCTTTTGCTGGAATGTTTTGATATATTATAAACTCGTAGAACATTTTATTTATCTGATTTTCAGGTTAATGCAACTGGAGCTAAGAGGTGCACCGTTTTCGATCCAAAAGAGTCGTTAGTTGGAACATGTCTGAAGCCACATGATTCAGTCATAGAACGCCTTCGAAGCAGCAAAATTTTGCCGAATAAGCACACGTATAAAGCTGAAAGAACTTACTACTTTATAAGTTTGTGGTGTTGATTAATTTACCGGATTAACAGTCGACAGCTGTTGTTTTAAAACTCTTTAGTAGATGATATTTGGAATACGGTATCTAATCTTTAAGTAATACGCTGAAATGATAGGCATGAAATGTAATGAGTTGAGTTTTTGCAGCAACGTCTACTGGGCACCAGGATGGAATTAACAACACATTTGGTGGGCTATGTCGTCAAAATGGAATGATATTAGAAGTCTATATCAAATCAAGAAATGTACCAGGTCAAGCTTACAATTGTTTTGCCTCTAAACCAGCAGCAAATGCTGACAATTTTTTCTAACTGTCTCTTCTAAAACCTTAAAAAAGTTCTGTTATTTATTTGCAGCATTCCGTTCCAACCGTCTCTCTAACAGTTCGCATAGAAGAGGTTTTTCTACTGATTATTTCAACAGAGGGCTTCACTCTCCGGTATGAGTTTATTTCCAAAAATAAAATAAAACTCGAGTAATTAGTTGCGTATAGCTTCTTCCTGTTATACCTCTCAATAGTGTCATGACGGGATGGGTACTCTGAATCTAAGCTTTGGAATTTCTGTTCTGAAAGTATGGGTTTAATTGGGGAAATAGACAATCTCGTTTCTAGGAATATATGATTTAATTCAAAAATACACTCATTTTTAATAATAAAAAATTTTTTTCGTTAACAGTTATTAGTTTTCCTTGTTGTTGCATAGGCAGAGTTGCTTGATAGAACTTTTTTATTTCGCGCACTTTTGCGTCATTACAAGGAAAAAGGCTTTAATGCTTCTGCAGCAACAGAAGTGGTTCTTTGCGACTACAGAAAGTTGAGAATTTTGTTCACAAGGGTACCGCAGGATTTTACTACGTCATGAGCGGTTAGGATTCTGAGGAAACTGCGCTGAACTGACGGATTAAAATGATTAGAAACCCTGCTTTCAGCAATAGAAATGAGTTGGCATACTATTTTTGAGAGAGGTCACTTACAATTAGTGTGAGCAAATCAGAAGTCGTTATTCTAGACAGGTGCTATTCACGCGACTTTTTGGTAGATACTCTATATATCTGATTAGAAATAAAATTTTACGACAACGGCTACTGTGAGGTAGGGACTGAACAAATTCTGCTGATGGATATTGCGAAAGTGCTTTAGTGGCCTAGACCAATGTCTACGAAATAATTAGGAATATTTGTAAAAAATTACATATGTTGGATCAAGTGGTGGGGATT